AGTTCTCTTCGCCAAGCCATTAGAGTTGGAGAACAAAAGGTGAAAAAAAAGCATACAAAGCAGTGGAATACAAGCATAACACAAAACAAAGCATCATAACTGCGAAGTAAGAAGATACAATGGCGGATTCTCACTTCGTGTCAACCGGCCAAAAAATCAAAATTAAACGAGACCTGGTACGATTTTAGTCTGTTAATGCCTAATTAATTTGATTTTCTTTATGGAATTGGTGCATAATATACATGCAGATGTTTGTTGGAAATTTCTAACTCAGAATGACATTTTTCTGCCATTGTTCCATTTTTGTGCTACTAGTTGATGTTAATGACATATTTGCTTGATTTTGTTTATGGAATTTGTGTGTAAAATGGATGTACATGTTATTAGGACCTCAAATGCCAAGTATTTATACTATTAATTCCATTTTAGGCTATCAATTGATGTTAATGACATATTTACTTCATTTTGTTTATAGAATTGGTGTCTAAAATGCATGTACATGTTATTAGGACCTCATCAAATGCCAAGTATTTATGCTATTAATTCCATTTTTGGGCTAACAGTTGCTGTTAATGAAATATTTACTTCATTTTGTTTATGGAATTGGTGTGTAAGATACATTCACATGTTTGTTGGAATATTCGAACTAAGAATGACATTTTTTTGCAATTAATTGCATATTTGTTCTATTAATTGCATTTTAAGGGTGTCCACTTGAACTCACAAATGACATTTTTTTGCTTTTAATTCCACTAGTGTGTTACGGATTGCTATTAATGATAATAGTAATGGTTATGTTTGTGTTATGTCTAATTCATTTGTGTTATGTTTGTGCTATTAATTGAATGATAATACTAATGATTTTGTAGATATTAAATGCTAAACTACACAAACCCTTGGTTACTAAATGTCATCTTATATGCATTACATTGGCAATCAACAACACATGACCTAATAATGTGTAATTACAATTGTAGACCATCACAAGGACTTGTGACCATGGAATGATCCAGAAGCTAGAAAAGTTGCGTGTGAACTGCTACTGCAACTTGACTGAAATAGCTAAGCGCATAAAGGCCAAACTCAATGAAGAAGAAATAGCACAATTTAGAGGCAGTCTTTGGTTGGATCCTAAATATAGAAGAAATGCCAAGAATAAGTGGGCAGTTATGCATATGCTTTGTAAGAAACTACACAGAGGAGGTTAATGGCACTAGTGTAAAGAATTTGATAAGGTTTCACATAGGGAATAGTGCATTGGCTTCACAAAGGACGATTTGGCACTAGTGACAGGATTGAAGATAAGGGGAGATATATCTAGTGTTCTTGACGTACCAGGAGGGGATTTGTGCAAAAGATACTTTGGTAGCAAGAAGATTTTAGTTATTCAAGATATATTCATGCAATGGATGAGTACAATTATGAGTATCCGGGGACACAGAAGGAAGATGACACTAAACTAGCATTGTTGTATGTCATAGCGCATGGCTTCCTAGGTAATCAGTACTCACATCGTATCCCAGGCAAGTATATGAATTTAGCAGAAGATCTCAATGCTTTCAGTTCTTATCCCTGGGGAGAAGATGTCTGGAGTGACCTCGTGGCAAATATGAAAAGCAGTGCTCAAGCATTGAAGATATGCACAGGCAAAAGGGTTGCTTTCCCAGGTTGTATGCACGCGATACAGATTTGGGCTTTTGAAACTTTTCCAAGCTTGGGAAGTGCAGGACTGTGCAGCAAAATAGAGGGAAAAGAAGATTAAATACCCCGAACTCTAAGTTGGTCTTTTCACAAAAAGCCATCCGTCGGAAAGTTCTGTGAGCTCATCTTCAACAATACTGAGGTAAATGCGATTATATTTCATCAAAACATTTATGTATATACATACATATGTTATTTAAATATAATATACTAACTAGTTAAAATTAAATGTTACTTTAATTGTGGTAGTTTGAGTGGACAAGAATGACTCCCAGCCAAGAGGAGAAAAAATGCATAGAAGGGCTTCAGGGAACAGAAGGGAATGAAGAATTGCATGAATTAAGAATTGATGCAGATAGAGGACTAGCAAAGAAGAACAAAAAGAATGCAGAAAAAGAAAAAGGAAAGGAGAAAGAAACAGAAAGGGTGCTACATGGCAGAGGAAACAGAAAAAGTGCAAGGAATAAGATATCTGAAAGCAAATATGAGAAAGGAGAGTGCAGTAAGAGAGTGTTGAGAAAAAAGGGGGAAACATGAGTGATGATGAAGATTACAGTTCAAATGAAGAGGAAGAGGTGCCCAGGCAAGGGGAAAAATAGCCAAGGACAACAAAGAGATGGTCAGGATACTTGAAGAGCTACAAGAAATTAAAAAAAAAAGCAAAATAAACAGGATGCAGTTTTTAAGAAACAGGGAGCAGTTTTAAGGGATATTCTATCTCTTGTGAAGAAATTTTCAAAGAAGAAGAAGAAGAAGAAGAAGAAGAAGAAGAAGAAGAAGAAGAAGAAGAAGCTAGCTTATTCCATTGAGGTGAGTGACCACCAGAGTGTTGGCCATAATGAGGAAGTACAACTTGAACAGAATGGCTAGGTTACTTAAAGAAAAAGTTATTTTTAAATGTGGCATTTAAAGCCAATTTAATGGAATTAAATAAAAAACATTTGAACTTACATGTATACTAATGAATGTAATTGTTGTTGTAGGAGAAACAAAAAGTTGTTTTTGACTTGGATGAGACTATGGAAGAAATGGTACAAGATACAGATCACAGAAAAAGCCATGAGAAGGAAGAAGATTTGGAAATGAAAGATGATGTGGTAATTATGAATAATTTCATTCGAAATGTATTTTATTCTTTGATTTATAACTGTAACATGTTTATTTATCGTAGGAGAATGAGATGAGTAACCAGCAAAGTAGCATGCATGCCAATGGGAATGAGAATGGAGGAGTATAGGTTGAGCACAATGACCAGAATCTCCAGGTTATTAAATGAAAGCGTTAATTTTCAAATGTGGTAGTTATAGATAATTTAAATGACATTAAATACAATATAATGTTGTTTGTAGGAGAAACAGAAAGATGATGAAAAAGTTAAGAATTGTGATAAAAATGTAGAAAAGCAAGTACAAGACCTGCAAAGGAATGATGTTGTGGTATCAATAAAGCATATAACTTCAAATTTTTTTGTTCTATAACTTATGATTGTTACATGTTTGTTTATTGTAGGATAATCAGATGAGTGAACATCACATTAGCATGGCTGCCGATGAGAATGAGAATGGAGGACTAGGGGATGATGAGAATCTCCAAGTTAGTAATTGAAAGAGTTAAATTCTTAAATGTGGATCTTAAAGACACTGAAATGGCACTAAATACAAAATTTGGGATTAAAATGCATAAAATGAATATAATGGTTTTTGTAGGACAATCAGAGAGAAGATCTACAAGGGACAAACAATGTCTACAGTGATATTGAAATTGAGAATGAAATTTCACTTCTAGATGATGAAATAATAGCAAAAAGGCTTGCTAGTGATTGTTTCTGGGCAAACTTGATAAATGATGCTCCAAATTTCAATCTCTTAACTCCAAGTGAAGAAGCAGAAGCACATGAAGAAGTACAGGTAATACATTTAATATTTCATACTACGTATATTTTTTAAATATGAGACAATAGTAGTGGTTATGGTCCTAATTTAACATTACATTACATGTACATATATAAAATAAATTTATGTATTTTGAAAAATGATCAGAACAAGGACAAGGAAGAAGAATTGAGGGATGATGTGGCTGGGCAGGAAAAAATAACTGAAGGCAGTGCAGGAAATGAAAAGGTAATAGCATATGGATTAATGCTTGCAAGGCTTTAAATTCAATCATTATGGCAATAAAGGAAAAGTTTCTAAATATTAAATGCAAGGGGCAAGTAATGAAAAAAATTATGAAGAAGAAAACAAATGGTGTGAAGAGAACACAAAATTTATAATGGAATTGTGTTTAAAAGCTGATGTGGCTAAAAAAGAATCACGTCCAAGAAAAATGCAGGTTGTAGAATTTATTTATAAAATAAATGTTAATATGTAGTTGATTAATTTACTTTTTGTCATTGTTATTAATTGAATACCATGTAATATGTCATTATAGTATATAAGATGATGACATTATGGACATTGACATTAAGGACATATGTTGTGTCAGTTGGTCATTGTTAGAAGATATAACTTCCGTCAGTTGCTCAATGTGATGAATTTTTTTTATGTGTTTTCAGACACAGGGAAAAGGAAAAGATGACCAAAAAGGAAAGCGTTGTGCACGATCTCCTGAAAGATACTGTAACACCGTCCCCAAGTATATTTACTTTTATGTAAATAATGTATTGAACCTTATCAAAGGATTAATGAATTTACGAAGTTGTAAAATTTTATTAATTCTTTCGCGTGAATAGTAAATTGCACGTAGGACCCACATCGGGAGCGGGGGTCGCCCGACATTCCCGAGACCATATATTTTATTCATCTTGGTCTATATAATAAATATATATTGGTGGATATTTCATTTGGGCCATGGAAAGGCCCGGAGTTGACCGATTGGTCAAAAGAAGCCCAAATTACCGGTACTGGTAATTTAACTAATGACAACCCGAACTGAATTTCGGGGGCTTATAAATTGAAGTTGGGGAATATATATTCATTATACATGTTATAATGAGTAAGGGCACATAATATATTTTATTTGACCCGATAAAATAAAATATATTTAAAACAGTCCGAAAAATACAACTTTCGGGACCGATTGTACACACCGGGACACAAAGGGATGACCTCCCACATGAGTGGGGGCCACCCCACGTTTTTGTGTGCTCTAATTAACCAAGGGGAGCTGGATAGACAAGAGAGGGGGGTTGAGGAGATAGTTTTGGCATCTAAAGTACCTAGGAGGACCCCCACCCTCATTTATTTGCCAATTAAGACAAAATGAACCATTCTCACTCACCCCAATCATCTACCACGCCCAAGCACCCCATTTTGAGAGGAAAAACTCTGCAAGTATTCATCTTCCATAGCTGGATACGAGCTCAGGGAAGGAAGGTCCAAAAGAGGAAGATTAAAGAGAGAAAAAGTTGGGAAAAGTGTGAATAATTAAGGTAATGACCTTATTATAACTTTTCCTCTATTTTTCCTTTACAATATGAGATATATATCACATGAAGGACCCTTTGTATGGTTCCACATATTATAAGTATGGATTTATGGGTCGGGAAGTGATTCTATGTCCAAGAACGGACTTAGAAGCCAAAACGACCGGTTCACCGGAAAATAACCTTTTATAGGTTATTCGTATTGATTAAGGTTTTATGATGTTAAAACCTTGTTAGGCACTTGTAAAGGGTATTTCAAGTGATTTCACAAAGTTGGAAAAGTCGCCGGAATTGTCGCCGGAGTTGACCAAAAGTCGCCGGAGTTTCACCGGAGTTCAACCAAGAAGGGTAGAACTTCATACGCTAGTTCAAGGTGAGTGGACGGCTTAATATCTTATAACTTTTGGGTTAATTATAAGATTACCTAAATAAATGTTATAAGTGTTCATAATGATGTTTAAAAGATATTTAAACATGTGATTAGCCAACATAGATAAGTTTGTATGAAAAGAATTAATTGTTTATACATGAAACATGATATGAGAAATAATATGAAATGCATATTTGTTGGGAATGTCAAAGAAGCACAAATGATTATTATCAACTTAATTATATGATGATTAAGTTGATATGTACAAGGCTTGAATGGCGGTCAACGACAACGTTGACCGATGGATAATGGATTAATTAATGTCGGTTGATATTAGTTAATTGTACATTTATATAATTGCATGAATTTGCATGGATTGTGATACATAAGCTTTATGTAGTGAATTAGTTATGAATGACTAAATATGATATAGACCCTATCTAGCGTGATATGTGGTAAGTCATAGGTCGGGTGGAGTACCCAAGGATCGGGCGGTTATCCTCAAAACTCGGTTATATAGGGTGGAGTACCCAAGGATCGGGCGGTTATCCTTAAAACTCGGTTATATAGGGTGGAGTACCCAAGGATCGGGCGGTTATCCTCAAAACTCGGTTATATAGGGTGGAGTACCCAAGGATCGGGCGGTTATCCTCAAAACTCGGTTATAGGGTGGAGTACCCAAGGATCGGGCGTGTATCCTCAAAACTCATAGATTACATTTAATGGTCTAGGACCGGGCGGTGTCCTTATGATAATTTATTTGAACAAGGAGGAGTTCTATACACTCATAGGTATATGGGTGGGTTGGGATTTAAGTCAAGGATATTGACTACTATTATTTTCCCAAATAAACAATGACCTACGGGTCGGGTATTTCCAAGTGTATGTATACTAATATGTATTTCAAACTTGGGAAAAGGACTATACGTATATGTATCACCCTATGTTTGGGTCTTATACTTGAAACGATAGTTATTCTATATTTAGCCTGCTACTCGCTCGGTACTTGTACTGACCCCTTCGGGGGGCCCCACCATTTTCAGGTTGAAGCTAGGGCTTGCTACCTGCACCTTTCTACGGGTGACATCAAATCAAGGAAGACGTGGTTCGTGCTTCCTCATTTTATTTCAAATTACCAAACATTGCTCATGGATATTTTTATTTGTTATAAACTACTTTTGGGGCTTGCATGCCCATGTTGTTGGCCGGTTGTGGCTTATGACTTACCGTTGAATATTTCCGCTATTCATTGGTTTAAGTGTGATGTTGTTATGTATGTTTACTACTGAGTATGGATGGTTTATATTCTCGAACGCCTTGTGTAATTAAGTGAGGTTGACTCGCGGGTGACGTCACTTGATTATACGGCGGTTGTACACGCGCTTGGATTGCGGTCTGGGGCGTGACAGATACACTCCATCTGGGTAGAGTATGTCAAAAGAAGAAAAAAGCAGAAGGCAAAAAAGACAGAAGAAGATGATTTCTTGCCTCCAATGAGAGAAATCCATGGACCATTCCCAGAAGATCCAACAGATACGGTGGATGAAGAAAAATTGCAAGAAATGGAAGATTTCTTGCAAGTTGGGCTTCTAAAGGTTATGAACACTAAAGAGATAAGATACAAGATTGGTGATGAAAACATGAATGCATGCCCATTGGTGCTGGACACCTTCAAAATTGAAGCTAAAACTTGGTTGTATGACCTTTGGACAAACCATACATGGTTAATTGATTTGGTATGATAATATATTATATAAAAATCCATAAATAATAAACAAATAGTAGGATGATAATTCATATTAATTTAATTTTGCAGCATATAGATGTGGGGATGTACTATTTAGCGATGAAGCGTGCACATTACAAGCTGCCACAGAGATACACCACTGCAAGGTCTTTTTCATTGAGATACTCAAGAGGGAGTATGAATTGATGTTAAATGGACAAAGCAGTGTTAAAAAATCTGGAGAAAGGAACACATTATATCATACCATTTGGGGAATATAGATTCTTTCTTTTTACACTGGGGAGAAACAGATTTTGTATATATTCCTCTAAACACCAATAAACATCGGATTTTACTGGTGCTTGAGGTGAAACAAAGGAACGTCAAAGTATACAATTCAAGCAAGAGGAGAGGTGATCCACTGAGAGATATTGCTTCCTACAGAGCAACTATTGAGAAGTTTCTGCCACAAGTGATGGACTACCACGAAGTTTACGAAACAATGGAACCTGAACCTATGCAACATAGGAAACTTGTTATCGAAGCAGTAAAAGATTGCCCCAACAGGATTTTGTGTAAGCTTCAAATTCAGTATATATTGTTATTAATTGTACTTGAGCATTACATAATATGAAGTAAATGATTTGTTAAATGCAGGGGCAATTGTGGGATGTATATCCTCAAGATTGCTGCGTTCTTGATGGTTGGAATGGATTTAAAAGAACTACAAGCTGAAGATATGGGAATGTACCACAGGAATATGGTAACACAGTTGGTTGAGTACAACAAAGAGAGGATGAAAGCAGCAGACATGATGAAGATATGATGATGGCATTAAGGTTGAAATGAAGGACATGGGATGGAATTAGAGACGAAAAAAATCAAACAATTTGTAATTTTAGTACTATTTCAATGGTTGTTATTAGACACATTTTCAATGCTTATGGATGTTGAATGTATTGAACTATGTTTTTCATATAATTTTTGTTGAACTACAAAGTATTGTATTGAACTACAAAGTGTTGTATGGTGTTTTAAAACTAATGAATGTGTCCATTAAATTGCATATTACCATAAAAACTAGTACTACATCCGTCCCTTTTATATTGGGACAGAAGAGGGTGGCATGAGTTTTAAGAAAAGTGGGTTTGTGTGGTTGATATTAATTGATAAAGTAAGAATTAAGTAAGAATAATTTTGACCCACACAAACTAAACTTTGCCTAATAAGGTATGAGACAATTAAATAGGGACATCCCAATATGGTAAAACGGGACATTAAAAAGGGGACGGAGGGAGTATAAGTTAGAAAATGCTTCGAAAGTATAGACATCATATTTGGAAATTAAAAAGAATGCTAATGGTTCTTTATTTATAACAACTATATTATTTAGAAATATTCTGAAATGTAAGCGATTAATGACATTTGTCTACCAATTTATAATCTGTGGTGACAAAGTAAGAAATTCTCTGGTTTAAGGTCCATATGGAAAATTTCCATGAGGTGGCAAGAATGACCATCAGTATTTAAAAGTATTCTGGAATGTTGGCCATTAATAACATTTGTCTCACATTTAATAAGCAAAACATGGCAATAATTGACATGAAATTTGGCAACTAAATTTAAAGGCACAGAATAGTAACGGATTGCTTTTACATATGTATAAATGTAATATTTAATTACTATGAAACTAGATGTAGTAACCAGTAAATATAAGCTTTAAACACTTAAAACAGGAATGAACCACACTTGTCTATAAATAATGAATGAAGAAACGCATGAACTTTGTTATTGATAGCATAATATGTTCCATTACAGTATATTACTTATCAAAGAATAACAGGAAAATTACAAACAAAAGAAGTAATGCATAAGATATGAAGTACAATTTGTTCTATTACAGCACATTACTCAACAAAGTATAAAAGAAAGATTTCAAGGCAAGTCAATAATGGCAATCCCCATACTGTTAGATAGCACCAATGTTTTCATTAGGAATTGGATTGCCACAAGTTTTTTTGTTGTGTCCAATGACATGGAAACGAGAGCACCTTCGACGTATTGATCCACAAAACTCTCAAATGGAAGGAATTCTGGATTTCTTTTGACGGCCAGGAGGTCTCTTCAAACAATTTGGAGGCTTGCACACAATGCTAAGAACACTTTCTGGAACTGGCCATGACTTTGGATCTGGAATTGGATGCATGCTATCGCTCCATGTAGACAGCCAAGCATCACGGAAATAATAAGGAGAACCGAAATCTAGCAAGAGAGGCCCGGTCGAATACGAAGAGAAGCAACTCCATATACACATATGAAGGGATCCAATTGAAAGAAGCCACATGAACACGTCTTTGTTGACAAGTTAACAACAAATGATCGGCAATCACTATCAACAACCTCAAACTCCAAATATGAAGATGGTTTCACCTACATTGTGAGAAAGTGAAAAAATCATTATAATAAGCATTATAAAATATGAAAAAGGTAAAAAGTAAATGAAATCACTAAATGGAATGGGAAAGAAAAGTATAGATGAAACCCCTTAATGGCATTAACAACAAAGACATGGCATTAAAATACATATTTATTTGCCAGAATACACATGTAACAAAACGTGAAGGTAATACTTATTAATTCAGGTAAGACATAAAAGTAATACCTGCATGTGTGTAGATGCATATTGCAATGTCACTAAATGTTTTTCACATTTACTGGACAAAATGGCAGTTTTTTTATAAGCTTTTTCACTTCTTTCCGTGAACCACTTTTGCATGTGGTGACGTAAAAAGTCAATGAGTTTAGATATGGAATACTCTCTGGCAATAACATTAACCTTATTCAGTGACTTTGTACAATTAGAGGTAAGCACACCAAATCTTCGTGGACCAGCCATACACCTAGCCCATATGTGACTCCCAATCTTATCTAACCACAGACAAATCTTGGCATTATCAGAATCTAACATAGCTAGGTATTCTTCATATTCAGGAACAGTAGCACCATATACGCAACCTTAAATTTCTAGCCAAGCCCATCACCAGAACCCTTGAATTTATGAATCAGATTACGCCTAAGGTGTTTCACACAAAACCCATGAATAACATGTGGGAAAATTTCACCTGCAGCCTTGACAAGTCCTTTATGGCGATCTGAAACGATATATAAATCATGACGGTGCTTAAGAGTATCCCACAACTTCATCAAGAACCATTTCCATGAAGCTGTAGATTCAGAATCACAAATACCGAAAGCCAACAGAACAATATAATGTGCCTATTTGTATCTTAAGCACAAGGTGTTAGCAATGTTCCTTTGTAATATGCCTTCATAAATGAGCCATCCAGAATCAGCGCAGGTCTACAAAACTCCCAAGCATCAGTCCATGTTGCGAGAGAAAAGAAAAGTGACTGAAATGCGTCATCAACACCCATAACAAGACTTATTGAAGATCCAGGGTTCGATTGATCAAGCATGTGAGTCATTGATGGTAAAAGTTGGTGTGAAGCTGCATCCGAGCCAAACTGCTTTTCCATAGCAATTTTTTGCGCTTTCCAAGCTTTTTTATAGGACATTAAAATTCCATATTCCAAAGCCATATCATTGCGTAACTGCTTGGGAGTATATGGTTTTTCTGAAGCATCTAGATATTTGTACGCAACCATATCTGCAATGATATCTGTTGTAGCTTGCTTGTGATTACCTTGTCTGTAGTCAACAGAACAAGTATGTTCAGGATGAAACCTGAAATGCGTCACAGAGAATACTGCCATCAAACAAACATGGCATTTAAAACAAAGCATATGGAAAAAATGTACAAACACAGAAAAAGCAAAGTAGTGAAATTTCTGAATACCTTCTGATCTGGAACATATTGACTCCAGATAATCTAACTCCGCGCACAGTCCATTTGCATTTTTTTATCCTTACATGTGACATGAAGGGATTCTTTCTTTGATGTAAGGGTTCTATATTGGAAACTGTTATTGATTGCAAACATTTTCAAGTGGTGGATAAGAGCAACCTTGTCTTTATAGATGGCAAGACGAATAAGACAAGTAGGATGATGATGTGTAATGACCTTAGAATTATGGTGAAGGGAAAAACTGTTAGAGGAAGACGATTTCGAAGTAACAGAAGAAGACATAGACATTGATGTTTCTGGAACATCAGAAAACTCATATGATGAAACATCATCATCTGGTTCAAGGTTTTGAACATCCTCATGATCAGAAACAACAATACCAGATTCAGTAACTGATCGGTTTGAACTTGCAAGTGTACAAATGCCGATATAGTAATAAATTCCGGTAAAATACCGGGTCGAATCCACAGGGAAATGTTGTTTAATTCAAGTCCGAGAGTAGATAACTTTAAATATTGAAATGAGTAAAGTGCAGGGATTTTGATTTGTGTTTTGCATTTTTGGCTTTTCACTTTTAATTCAAGGAAACAACTTTAATTAATTTGGGTTTAAAATGAATGATAACAATTGCTAAGGCTTCGGGAATCACTTAAATGCTTTAATAGAGTTGAATATTAGTTCATTACCAATAATTATGAATACGATGTCGCTAATATATTCTCAACTCCGGTTAAGGCAGCGAGAGCATGGTTTTCGTTACGTGTAAGTCCCGTTACGGCTTACATTCATCTACCGAAAACCCCGTTGAATATCAAGACATCACACCCGTATCATATAATACCGGATATATTTCTATTCTCGGTAATATATATGTTTATCCTTTAATGTTCATAGTTTAGACCTCAACGTTAATTGCAAGCATAAACTAAGTTTAACATACTTCTATGTTGTACACCATAGTCATAAACAATCAAAATGTAAAGGATAAATCACAATTTATTGGTTTAGAACTTTTATCAAACACCTAATGGGCATAGAAGTTCATCCCTAGCCTTAGCTAAGAAATTAGCCCCTAATGCCCATATTAATCAACATACAATATTGAAATGTAATGGAACATGAAATTACAAAGGAAATAATACCTAAACACCAATGCTTTCGGAGGTTGAAGTTTCCTCCTCAAGAACTTGAAGAACAATAGCAAGAATAAATTATAAAAACTAGGAATTAAAGTATGGAATGGGATGTGTTTGCTTGATGAATTGAAGACTTTATATAGACTAAAGAATGGCATCTTTTAGTCTATTCGAGCCCAACAATCAGGTATGGAGCAATATTTGATCAAGAGATGAGGAAGGTGAAGTTTTCCCATAAAAAATCCTCTTGCACGACCTTTTGTTTGAGCTGAAATCGTCCCAACCGGCCCTGGTCAGTCTAGAACCGGCCCCGGTCGCAAACAGGCTTGTTTAGTGCGAAAAAGCCTTCCAACCGGCGCCGGTTCTAGGCTGACCGGTGCCAGTTGCAGCGCCCAAAAATGCGCTTCCTTTCTCTTCTTCCAAAATTGATCAAAAAGTGTTGGTTTTTGTCCCAGGATTTTGAGGATGTTCCGCTACGAATTTCGACATGATTCCTTCACCAAAGTTGTAGATAATGAAGTCTTCTATCCACCAAAACTTGAATGACGTAATTTTATTCA